GAATCGTTGTTCTCGCAGGAGATCTATTTTATCTCGCTAGATACCGCAGACGCGTAAAGTCGCGCGGGAGACCGAAAGACGCGGTAATGCCGGGACGCTGATGGTCGCTCGGCTGTTCAATCGAATCTGCTGTTTAGGACCAAAGTTTGGAAACAAGAGGGTCCCAGAGAGAGATTTTAGAGGCGGAGTTTGGAGGAAAGTCGACGAATTGCATTTTTGTATGCAGCCGATTGGTCAAGAAGAAAAGAAGAGGGAGAAGTTTTAGGCAGTTCCAGAGGCGTGAGTGAAGACTGCACATGCGGATGTCGTTAGAGAGCTTCGGAGAACCACTAGACGAAGAGTAAAAGAACGGACGCCATAAATTGTCCTAATTGCGGACGTGATCGAGAGGTACATGGGTTTCTTGGGAACTTTCGAATGATATTTTCCAGATGGGTTGAAGGAGACAGTTGCGGATGAAGAAAGGCGCGTTACGAATGGAGCTCAAAAGACGTGTCGCAACGACGACCCTACCTCCAGGGGGTCGACGCCGTTGTCGATCCTTGAAGTAGTGGTTGGCGCGCCTGGACGGCGCGACAGGACGCAGAGGCTAGCTTCGAACCACACGGGTCATGATTGATAATTACTAATTGAGCTCTTGTTAATTCGGCGCGAACAGATTGCTTGTTGGTTATATAATACAATAAAACGCATTTCACTAAAATTAATTACTTAGAATTTAGAAATGTTCTTGCTAAACAATTGTTAAATTTTGGTAGCATAAGAAATGTGCTTCCATTTAACAATACATCAGAAGCAATACATTTTCTTAAAAAATTGGATAAAAGAATAAGACGTCGTGTGTGTAGTATTAAGAAACTGCGAAAAGACACTTTTTATTCCAGAAACTCCGCTCCAGAAGTCTAGCTGAAGAACGCTTTATTGTCCAATGTTAGGGTAGAGGACATCCTTCAATCACGTTTAAAAATGCTCTACAATCTTTTTAATCGCATTAATCATTATAAGTATACAAGTCAATCAATTATAGAAATAAATTCAACGCATCTTTACCTGAAGTCAACTTACCAGACTTCGAAGCCGAAGGAAAAATATTTTGTGGACGAAACAATGTTCTTTCCACTACCGGTCCGAATGGGCCACTTACTTCATTCAACATTATCAACAAAGGTGATAGTAATCGTCCATCACAAGAAATTGTTGGTTGAATTGTGTAGCTATGTGTTGTCGACAAACTCGATTGGGCAACATATTCCACTCTTTTTTTTTCCTTCATATGATAATGTCCGTCCTGAATGAATTTCTAGTTGAAATCCACTTTGATCGGAATTATACACATTTTCGGTCCCGTACTGCGCTATCAGTGGTCTTACAGTGTTTATAAATTCACTAGTTGCTTTTTGTAAATCGTCGCCATCTTCTATGGTCTTCCTTGAAATAGATTTTGTTATTTTCCGTGACACAATACGATGAGCTTTTTTGAAATTATATAACCATTTTGACGATGCTTTAAAACTCACGTCGTTGTTTGTCTGTTCTCTCCATGCTTCTAGAGCCCATTTTTGGATATCTGCGTAATGCAATATAAAACCAGCGTCAATAGCATTTCATAATTTGTTTAGCGTAAATGTAGAGACATACATTAATGTTTCTTTTCGACATCCTTCATCATCCACTTGGGTAGCCCACCTTCTCAATTCACTAGCATCAGAAAGTTTTCTAAATCGTTGCTGGACGGTGATAAAATTTAAAATTGCTGGTCCAGAATTCTACTGCTTTCTTTTTATAGTCGAAATTAACCGCTATATCTTGGCAAATCGATGAAGACGGTTGTGGCACTGATTCGTCACTCCACTCTCCTTCTTCTTCAATATACTCCACCTCCCGTGCTTGAAAAGGTTCTTGAATATCCAATGTTGAATCTTCAGTAGTCTCGAACGAATTAAATTGGAATATACTGTCCATAAGAATCTTTTGAATAGAGTCTTTTAATAGTATTTCTTGTCGATTGACTTCAGTTTCCATTAAATACATCGTTTGAAATGTAGCTAACAAGAGGTTGCTCACGTTTATAAGATTTATAATCATTATGCACAAATAAATCATAGCATATCGACAAAATAATTTCACAAGGACGAAATCCTGATCAGAACTGATCAGCATCGAATCCAGTGCAGACTTTATAAGAACGCACGTCGGCGTAGACGATTCCAAATTTGATTTGATTGAATGCACCATTCTCGTACCTAAGGTATCCAATATCGCTAACTATATTTTCGTAAAAACAGTAAAAATCCAATTTTACCGTTTCACCAAGGAGATTGTATTACTAGTTGGAAACGGTTAATGACTGCGTCATCGGATCTGTTGCGAAACTGTTTTAGTCTCTAAAACTTTTTTTTAAATTTATTTATAAATAATTGGATGTTATAAATACTACCGACATTTTGGGGAATTAGCACGTTCACAAGATTTATGTACAATGAATTGGTCACGATATAACCCAATAAAGCTAGTCGGAACATACCCGTATACCACCTACATTCATTGTTTACAACCGATGTGTAAATATTTATTGGCAAAAAGCAAAAAACACGTATTTCTTCATTTTTTGTGAGCAATCACATCGCGTAAGTGGAACTTAAGTAGGAGTGCTTGTTTAATAGATATTACAAAAAAATGTCGCCTGAAGGGTAATTCACCCCCTGGGGGGGGGGGGGACATTGCTGGACAATAGTGTTTTCACCGTCCTTATACAGAATGCGTTTATACCAAGTTTCGTAGAAATCCCTCCACTACTTCTACGAAAATTATTATAAAAATCCGATTTTCGCCAAACTGTGGAGGGTTGTTTCATCCCTTAAATGTGGGCCATTGCAGATATAAAAAAACGTGTCTCTTAGATGTTTGTGTTCTTCAACATATATGAAAATCAATAAGATCGGGGGCGGACACTTTGGAATGTTTTTTTGTAAAACGTAAAAAACGGGTCTTATATAGGAACGAATTGCTATCTAGACCACTTGCAAGAAAGCGACGTCAGTGCTCATATACCGATTGGCAAGGTTGTTTCATCATCATGTGAATTACAATAAATCTATGTTAGTCATATTTCACCGGAGTAAAAGTAAACATATTTTGAATACATCCTTTTTTATCATATTTTAAAGAACAGCGAATATTTCAGTATCAATGACTATATTTTTGGTTAATTCGATGATCCGTACTATGAACCTTTGTAATCGTAACCAATAATTTTGTAATTAATACTAAAATTAGTGTATGTGTAACCTAAAATTACCAACTATAGGCACAATATTATTTTAACTTCACAAATTTCACTCAGTGTATCTCAATAGCAAGAACTATATAATTTTTAATTATTAAACAAAATAAAATAGCAAATGCCGATCCTTTCGTATCGGAAATTAAGTTTTTAAGTAGAGATTTTATTTTTATATTTACACATAAATCTACATCTCAACGAAATGACGCTGATGCTGCCACTTTCCACTTACTTTCTGATATCTTATACATAGCTATTGTAACGGGTCAGGTGGTTAACATGCGCCACTGTACATTAGGATTAGTAATTCGGCCCTATTCAAGCATGCGCGATAATATTTGCGAACAAGTAGGGAGGACCTGGGAGAGGGGACCACGGACCGCGAGCGCAAAGCCCGGCAGACGAACGCTCTCTTGAATCGGAACTTTCGACTCGATCGCAAGTCGAAGAACCGGTGTCTAAAACTGTACTCGTTAATTCGCGATCGAGGAGTTAATGCCACAAGTAAGTATATTCTTTTGCAGGACCCTTACACACCAACAGGTCTGGCACAATCACCACTCCTGCATCCTTCACCTCTCGTATTCCTCCAATTTAAACTCCTACATCATCCCATCGGTCTTGGTATTTCACCAACTCACGAACACCTTTTTCCACAAACCAAACCTAATTACCAATGTCCGCGACTGGCTAACATAGAATAAGTCGTACTAATCCCCGTAGAGCCAAGCTCCGGGAAGAATCATAGATTCGCGGAACTAAGTAGTCCGCAACCCGGTACTAAAACTCATTTAGTAAAAATAGATTTCGTTTAGGCTGATCAGCCACTCCCACAGTACGGGTAGAATTCTCAGAACAAGGTTCAAAAAGAAACCTCAATTCACCCCTCTAAGATCAGCAAGCCCTGCGTTCGGAATAGATTGCTGCACGCGGATCAAGTAAAACGGAAAGTCGGCAAACATAGTGCACGGAGTAGGGACTAACTGCCCTAAACTCTTAACAGTCCAAATTTATCCAAAAACCTGAAATTCCATTATTCCAAATCCTGCTGATTCAATGATGAAACTATAGAACGCACCGATAATGGGATAAGCCGTTCTCACTGAGAGTCAAATTCCCATCCTTCCTTTCCCTGTAGCCAGAATCAGAAAAACAGGACACACGATAATTGAATTAGGACTGCACCTAATTTAATTAAAGTGATCCGGAAAAGTGAATAATTTTCTGAGAAATTTAAATCGCCAATTTATGCGAAACGGTGCGGAAGCAAAGTCCCTAACGATAGAAAAACTCGCTAAATCCGGATTCAGTCGACAGGCCTCCCGACTCTCCATAATATTTACGCGCTCAGCTGATCGATCGTTCGTGAACGCTCTCCTCGCTCTCTCGCCAGTCTCCTTCTATTTCATATATTAGAATTTAAATTAATTTCGGTCTCAGGAATCGTGAGACTCGAACCCTCGAAGGATGCAGTTTTTCGGTGCATAGGCACGGATCAAACTGCATACCATTACACTATTGACTTCCTCTATTAGGCATTCATACTGAGATATCTTTTAGTCCGTGATATTCAGCAACATTAGACTTTACATATTTTTTCGATACCTCTTCATGTCGAAATGATGACTTAAAAAAGATAGCTTTTCGTCATCTTTTCAGTAGATGTGCTGTCTGGGTGAGTTCCCAAAATGGAGTTTATCAGACAAGAAATCCTTACCTTTGTAATGTATCTGCGATCTGCAATTTCTAACTAACTTTGTAGCAAGTCCTGGTTTCAACCTGGCGTAAGGTGTGCTTCGAGCGAGTGCAGCCACACATTTCAATCCATGCATACGTAGAACCATGTTTCTTTCAGTATTCAAGAGCAATGATAGAGCAAGGTGAAGCTCCTTTATCATTGCACTCACTGTACTGCAGAATGCAACGAATGAAGGGCGTTCAACGTCTTCTGCATGCAGCAGGAATGATCTTGCTCCATCGAGTAATTCCGTCAGTGTACTCAAAGCAGTTTGTCGGTTCTTCGAAACTGGTTCTCGTAGTATGTATCTACTTAGAACTCTTACGTTATCTGTGGAATCGTTAGCTACAATTTGTGGCCAATAACCAAAAATCTCACGACTCGATATGTTACGTGCTATGCCCTGAAGTAAATGAATTGCTTCAAAGCGAACCTTGGACTCTATCCGGTCAAGATTAACGATCTCATTCTCAGACGTATCGGAATCACTCGAGCATCTACACACAGGTTTGCTATCGATCCGAGTAGAACTTTTTAGGCTATCTGATGTGAATTTTCTTGTCTGTTGACTTTTTCCTTTAGGTTTGCGACTGAAATTTCTAATACACGGCATGGTATATACAGTTTCAGGAAGGTTCATGGTCGCTGGTCGAATAGGCTCAGGCTTCATTAACTGATAGCCTTTGATTCCGTGATACATGTAGGTTTGAACAGCTCCAAAGAGTTTCCCAACTTCATCAGGACTTTGGGATAAAATTTGATAATCAACCACAAGTATGTGGAGAATATGTAGGCACAGACATATCGTCTAGAAAATAGAATTTAATCGTTACAGGCTACCCAATGATGAAACGAGTGTCATGCACTATGGCGAAATTGACAGAGTTAACTTACTTTGTTGTAAACTAATTTATCTTGACATTTGTAATCCAATGATATAATAATGTTTGAAATGACGTGTGCAGTAGTCAAATTAAATTCAGGTAACACTAATGACCTGTCGTCACGTTTTTTCAATAAAATAACTTGTATGCATCGTAATGCAAGAACACTGGTTTCATTCCATGGAACAATTGGATCATTTATAAATTTGAACAATTGGTTTCGATGACTAATGAAGTCCTCTAAGTTCTATTGAGATTTGTAGAAAGAATAAAGATTTTTTGAAAATATAGTATAAAATATGAGGTACAAAGTGTATCATGCTCCTAACTATTCACTAAAATATAATAGTCTTATACAAATGAAGTATGAAATAATCCTTATGATATGGCCATGCCTTTCTCCAGTGCGTTTCCATCTTACAGACACTTCAATTACGAAGACACCGCTACAGTTCGGATCAGTTACGACAAATGTTCATCATAGTGAAAAAGCAAAAAAGTCCAAAAAAGAAACAAAGTAACAAAACTTTACTAAAGTTATAAATTAATGCAAGATTTTGACGGGTGACTAAAATTACCCATAGGATATGGCAAGCATGCACTGATGGGTGACTATAGTCACGGAAGGGTTAACTATTTTAATAGCAAATTTCGAAAGATATTCGTGATTACAGATTTTATCAGCAATAAAATAAATTAGTGTAAATTATTAATATGTACTTATTCACATCATGATACAAAACCAAATGGTATTGTACAATTTAAAACGATAAATTGAACTTAAAGAAATTGTTCATTAAGGTGATATGAAAGGCGCTGAAAAATTTAATCGACGGCGATAAAATAAAATTCATCTACAGCCTTCTTGGTGGTCACTCCATTTTGGATACTCAAGTGGTAACATAAGCTGACGTGCCACGTTACAGGCATTTGTATTTATGTTGAAGTCTGTTGCACTCTATGTTGATAATTATACAAAATAAAGCATTCCATATGTCATTTCGGTAGAGTAAATAATTACTATAAAGAGATAGAAGTAAAGCTGTCGAAATCCTGTGGATTCATGATTTTTGATACTCTAATGGACTAACGGCGCCATCTGTGACGTTCAGCTGTAACTAAATTTTTGCTTTAAAGACCCGTGTTACCCGCGAAACAAGCGTTTCTTACAATCGTACGTGAAAGTATTTGCATATTTTCCCATCTGACTCGGTAATATTCAATTTCTATGGTATTCTAAATTGTTGGAGTTAGATCCTGAAACACTTCATTTACGGTTTCAAGCCTTCAAAAAGCGTAAAACATCAAAAACGTGCACGGATGACGCCATGTTAGTTCTAGACAATGATGAATCAAATTTCTTTTATTAAAATTGAAATTTTATAAGTTTTAGGGCCTACTTAAAGACCTCCACATTCACGTGGTAAAATTTGAATCGAATCGATGCACCCAATGCGGAGAATACTTTCACGAACGAATAGGCCTCTCAAAGATATATATAGACTGACCCTTTCATATCACCTTAGGGGTGCAATAAAGCCAGATCAGCCACATTGAATTCATATATAAGAAGCGAGGAAAATGCGTGAAATTCCCAATCGATATTTGACTACAATTTTGACGGTTTTCATGAATAAAATGTGGATGACGTAGTGATCAGTGGACGTATAAAATGTGGCAGCCAGTCCGTGTTTGCGTTGAAATTGTGTTCATTGTCGATCACTACGGAATTCTAACCTCGTCAATCGACCAATTTTTTTAGTGATATCTTGTTTCGTAATGCACGATCCGTCATAAACTGACTGGCTGGCACATTTGGTGAATCCCTACTTTCTTTGTGCCATAGTTCTTGTTAACAATGTTATCTACTTCGTAGAATACCGATTGAAATTTTATGCAATCTATCTATTTATCGCCTCTGATGTGAATTCAACATGACTTACATGACTTTACTGGAACTTCAAGGCTCGCGCACATTATAGCCGGGACGGGCCGCAGCGCATTAAAACATACAATTTTCGTTTTAATTGTCAATTGACACCGTATGCGTCATACGTTTGTCAAAATGGACAATTCCGATGAAGAACTTTATTTATTTAAAATTCTTTTCGATGAAGAAAGGGAAAAAGGGAAAACTAAAAAAGAAAACGTGGTACATGATATCACAATATTTGCTAGAAAAGAATGTTATTTGTAGATAAAAGAAAAAAAAATAGGTTATGCGTCGATAAGAATTTCTGAGAGCCTATATGTGCTAACAGTATATTGTAAGCAAATTTTCAAGTCGCCCATATACCAACAGTAATGACATGATAATTACTTGCAAGTTCAAAACTCACGCCCCTGTGCAATAAATGTTTTGCATTCCGTGCGCTATTGCACAGATCCGTTGCACACTTTAACGGAATGGACTGGGTCACAGCAAGTTCGCGAAAAAATCCAGCTAGCGATCAATCCATCGATGTGGCTGCTGTGCCCCGTATGTAATATGCGATAGTTCATATAAAATCTATGAAATCAATCCCATGTGGATTTTTGTAATGCGATGCGTTGAAATCCACCCTGGCATAGTGTGCGCAAACCTTTCAAGGTACTTTTAAATGATTTCTACTAAAAATGAATTAAATGTATACCTTAGCACTATTGCTAAACATCTCAGTTGATAAGGCACTATGTAGTGTTAAGAGAACATCATGATGTACAATATTATTAGAGAATTCAATTATCTGTTTTAGCCATTGAATGCAAGCAGCAGATGTACATTCATCAAAGCTATAATCTATTTGTATTAGGCTTCGAAGTAACCAGGTAAAGTTTTCCACCAAGGATGTATCAATTGGATGTGTGAGCTGACACAATCGTTCAATGAATTGTTTTATCACCTGCAATTTAAAATTAACAAGTACATAGTATTATACACATACTGACTTTTCCAAGTAAAATTAAAACTGACTTAAAACTTGTTATGTTATAAAACTATGAATATACAAAGAACATCTAATGTAAACTTTGTAACACTACTAATTTTTACAATATAAAGTATTTAAATATTTATCACTGATTTTCAGATGAAAATGTAAACTAAAAATCGCAAAATATAAAAGTATAACGTTACCTGACATTAGCATCCATTGAAATTAATATTACCTTTTTTTTTTTTCATACATCTTTAGCACAGATGTGCTACAAACATTTTATTATATAATACGAGTCATATAAAACACAAGGAAAGTCTGTCAATGTTAACAGAGAGAAATAGTTGAGTACTCTATCCATTGCAATCTGTTACTGTCCATATAATTCAAAATTTTATCAGGCATCATAATGTGATCGTTCGCATTTTTCACATTTTATTTGTGTATATATAAAAATAAATATATTTCGTCCTTCAAGGAAATAATCTCTATTTTGAAATTAATGAAATACACACAAATTATGAATCGAATATTTAGATTAATACGTTGACTACAAAGTGGTCACTGAATGAATGGCAACTGCTTTGCAGTGGTGACTACTGTAGCAGTCAACGTGTTAAATAATTTTGTCTTACCATGAACAAAGTAAATGTTCTTGTTTCACCCCTTGGCTTTGGATATTGTTAACTATAAGTCACAGTATTATAATTTTAGATACTTTGTATAATCAAATGTTACTTATTTAACACAGTTTATACATGACATTTTCACACCCGTAGTCCTATGTTGAAGTTCATGCTCTCCCCCCTCAAAGGGCGTATTGTTTCCATTTCCATAAAAAGACAAAATTATTATAATGTATTGAGAGCATGGTATATACTCACCACATTATTTTTAACGGCAGTCGTTTTAAAATCCAGGGAATTTATCTCCTTTAGGTAACCATTAATTACATTTTTATCGACACTTTCCACTAGCACAGCAGTATGCATTTTTGTTGAAAACAAATAAAAATTCTTTGCTACGACATTTAAGGAACATATTTGTTCTGGCGCCATGACGTGTTCATATATTCACAAGATTCACTCATGGCCCTTGACTACATAAGCAGAAAGATGAGAGTAGCCAGGACCAACGGGACGCCAACTATCATATTTATTACACACGAGCGCCATTATTCCTGCGGATGCTCATGGCAGAGATGAGTAGGGAGACAGAGATGAGGGGAGTAGAGTTCGAAAATTCTCGGTAACATTAAATTGGAGAAGGTAACTGTGAAACATACCGTAAGTTACCGGGAACATTGAGAATTTAAAAGAACGTTAATTTTGTTACTTATACTTTAGGTTTCTTCGTTTAAATAACTTTTTTTTTTTCAATCAACTTCAAAGTTCAAGCTAAAGAGTAATAATTACTATTAGAAAATATCGATTATAGGGTCGTATTTACCATCAGCTAAAAATATTCACGTATGTACAACTTGACGGAAAATTCCATGCGATTTGTTTCAAACGAACTGATATTTCATTCTGCGACGAAGCGAATGGGAGGTTTTGATTGGCTACGGAGAACGTACAACGGAAATTCCCCTCTACTATGTTTCTCTATAGCTAATCGAAACCTCTCGTTCGCTCTGTTGAAAAATTCAAATTCACATAATTTCTCGATAAAAAAGGCTTTGGAGAAATGACCGATAAGTTACCGGGAATTTCTCTTCGTCTCTGACGTAACTTACTGGATTTAGAACTCTAGCTATATCGCATTCGATGCCTCAAGTAACCGGTTTGAATCAGAGATGGCGCTTTATCCTTCGTTCTATTTTTGAAACGGTGTCTCGAGTACGAGAGGCATCCGCAGGAATAACGGCGCACGTGTCGCAAAAGTTTGATAGCTGTGTCCCCTTGGGCCTGGCTACTCTCATCTTCTCTCTGGTTTGGGGTAAATATAGAGTGCGTAGAGTTCTAAATCCAGTAAGTTACGTCAAAAACGAAGAGAAATTCCCGGTAATTTATCGGTAATTTCTCCAAAGGCTTTTTTATCGACAAATTATGAGAATTTGAATTTTTCAACAGAGCGAACGAGAGGTTTCGATTAGCTATAGGGAAACATCGTAGAGGGGAATTTCCGTTGTACGTTCTCCGTAGCCAATCAAAACCTCCCATTCGCTTCGTCGCAGAATGAAATATCAGTTCGTTTGAAACAAATCGCATGGAATTTTCCGTCAAGTTGTACATACACTGGACTCCATCGATGGCTTGCACCTGGTCCGCACTGCCCTCTCCGGCCGCGCAGCGTACTAGCGGCGGGAGCAGCGCGGAATTCGAATCGCTCGAGGGGCAGAATGGATTTCCTAAAGAGAATAAATATT